TGTGTGTTCTAGGAAGCCACAGAGGGCAGAGGCATCGATGTGATAGTAGAGATGCTGTCAAATGTCAACCTCAGTAAAGACCTCCACATGTTGGCCTTGGGAGGACGTGTTACGGTCAGTAGGACTGCAGTCCAGTGCTATTTATCAGTCTTAATAGCTTGGTGTGAGCTGTCTCGTAGAGACACCAAAATAATCCAGATTGATGAATAGCACTACAGGTAAGAGGGGAAATTAGTATTTTCGATTTTGGGCTGAACTGTCCCTTTAAGAGTAGCACAAAAATGCAGAGAGACAATGCTTAAGATAAGAGAAGGGGCGGGGTTGACCCTGTTGCAACGGATTACATCGTGTTTTATGAATACTATGTCTACACTGATTGGTTCACAGTAGCAGTGAATGACAAATGAAATATTCATCAGTATACAGGGGCAGCGAGGAACAATCTAGATTACATTTGTTCAAATTTTGACTCTGGAGTCCTCTAGACTTCCTCCAACTTCTCTCGGGGAGCTGAGGAGCTACTTTTAGCGCTGCAATGCCTCGTGAATTACTCTTAGACCAAAAAGTTAGGACTGACACAACCTTTATTTTTCCACCAGTTAGGAGTTACTTTTAGCCAGACGGTGGTTTGTGAGTACGACCCCTAGACTTCTATAGCTCTGTAGCTAGGCCCTATTACCCAGAGTAGAAGCTGTATCCCAGTGTAGCTCGTTCCTGTGCCTTACTTCATACGCGCTTATCTCTCTCCTTCATTGTAGATCATTGGCTGCAGAGGCTCCATAGAGATCGACCCCAGAGACACCATGGCTAAGGAGAGCAGCATCATGGGAGTGACCCTTTCCTTCGCTACATCGGTACGAAGTAGTGGCATCACACAAGTCATCCTGATACAATGTTTAAATAAATGTTCGTATGTTTCCTCCCTCCCTCCCTCCTCTCGCAGGAGGAGAACAAGGAGTGTGCGGCGCTGTTCTACGCGGGGATGGAAGCTGGTTGGCTGCGTCCGGTCGTCGGCTCCCAGTACCCGCTCACCAAGGCCGCCCAGGCCCACCATGATATCATTGAGTGTCCCGGGGCTGCTGGGAAGACAGTCCTGGTCGTGGGATGATGTGATCATAGCACAGGTTTTGGCTGTTAATAATAAGGAAAAAAGTCAAGAACTTAAATGAAATAAATGTATAAAAAAAGAGACATTTTTGGAATCATTTTGTGGTCCTGATAAACAAGATTGGTATTTGGGAAAAAGGAAGTAACAGAAAGGACTAAAGTTAAAAGCTCGTATCTGAGAGGAGTTAAACATGACATCTGTGCCTCTCAGGTGACAGCGGTCTCTACTGAGCATGCTCCAGAGAGGGCCAGGTAACTTAAGCTAGACACACACAGTATCTGCTACAGCGCTGTAGCAACCGGTAAATGATGGCGCTCCTAGTTTAAGTCTCCCCTCAGGTCCTCAGATCATTCTTATGGATTAATATGGCAGTGGAGTGCACCATGTCGCCCGCAGGGGGGGGACCTTTGGGTTCTGTTCAACAGGTGAGCAGTTTGTAATGGTTTTTAAATGATCCCGCACTCTGATCAGTATTTCTTTGGTTTAGGTGTATACAGTAGATGTTCAGAAACTGAAGCCAGGCAGAAAGCAAATCAAGAGAACTGGTGCTCTCTCTGATGTATTGTGGTGAATGCTAATCAGCTGTGGGTATATCTTGCTCTATTGCTCTTGCTTTATTGACATATTTGTCACAGGCTTGCTGGGGATCATTCAACTAGGATGAGGTTATAGTTTTTGACAGAAAAATAAATACAAATGAACATTTAAATCTAATGTCTACTAGAGAAATGGGGCATGTCTGAAACAGCTTGTGGACCACACGGTAGTGAGACTCACTAATGAAATGGTTTCAGTAGTCAGTAGTTCATGGTAGACGAGGATTTCTAAGGTCAGACATCTAGTGTAAACCAAGGCTGGATGGCTTACTGCCCTGGGGCCCCAGACCCTCAGGGGCCTGAAAGGTCTTTTGTGTGGAAATCCATTTGTGGAAATTTGATTCATTGATGATACAGTTTTGTTTGGTATTATGCACCACGAATGCATAATTAAACGATGGTAATCACCATCAGGTGGGTAATGCATTTTCCCTCGATGTTTTTTTCAATACCTTGAATATTTCAGTTGATATTGCTTGTGCATATCTTCAAACAAATATGTGTTTAATTAAATTATGACTAACTGATATCCAGCAAATCTGGGGTGTCGACTTGGTGAAGTCCCCACTGCTCTTCTTGGCAAGACCCGCCCTGCGTAGCTGGTTGAGGTAGAGGCAATTGGTTAAGGTTAGGCATTGCCCTCGAGTAGACAGGGTCAGGACAGAGCCCATTGGTCAGGGCATAGGACCAGAACAAATCAGGTCACCAGTAACTTGGCGAGCATGGACGCCTGGCCAATCCTAGCGTTTGAATGCTGCAGAAGGCGGGTCAAGAAGAAGAGCAGTGGGATTCATAATAACTCCCCAAAGACAAAGATGAAACTAACTGGTCTCTTACTACAGATACCTTTGGAGGAGCGAATCACAAGGTTACCAGTGTTTAGCTTAAAGCCGCATCCATCATTTCTGACCACTAGAAGGCAGAACAACTCAGAAACAAGCACAGACGCTAACATACTATAAGCTTATCAAGATCTTTTGTGAGCAAGCAACAGCTTACCTACACTTCTATCAGACACATTAGCATATATTTGAAGTTGTGTTTCTGTCCGACTGTCAATTATCAAGTTCGATTTGCACTCTTTGTTCCGCTCAGGTTTGGTCTCCACCAACTCCTGAGTGAAACATCTGGCTCTTTAGCCAGATGTTTCACTTTCAAGCTGCTAACTTTCTATCCTTTGGAGCTAACGTTAGCCAGGTAGTGTAGTGTTTTGTGGCTAATTATGATTTTCTATTGAGTGTTGATGAGAACATTATACTCAACCACACAGTCATGGGTTGATTGCTAACAGGCACCAACAGACACCGGCTGAGGGGTCCAAGCGGTCACAAGGCTCCCGGGCTTCACATGCAAAATGTCTGAGAGAAACTCCAAAGAGATGCAAAACAACTGCAAAGAGACACGAAACAACCACAAAGAAACGCAAAATGTCCACATTTGATTCAATTGTATTTTCAAGATTATTACTTCAAATGCTGAATTGCTGAGTACTGCAGGTTTAAGCTGTGTGTGACTTTATGTGTTGTTTTCAGCAGCGATACTTCTTGTCATTTGAGGTGAAGTTGCTGAAAGTCATTTGGAAAAGAGCTTTAGCAGAAACATGATAAGCCTCATACGGCTACAAAGACTGGCTGTCCTCCATCAGTCTGCATCCTATGGGGACAACCTCATACCCCCCCACCGAACTACACACATGTCAGTTCATTGCCAACACATTTATCCCTGTTTGTTTGCCTTGCAACTCAGAGCAAACAGTAAACAAACGGGACAACTGAGGTCCGCAGACTTTGGTCCAAGGACACGCTGAGGTCTCTGATAGGGCTCCAGAAGGGCCCAAGCCATCTGACTTCATGTCAGTTTCTTTTTAATCTTTAGAAACTAAATTCACATGTCCAAATGACAGACATCACAATCTGTTCCTGCCAATCTTTAGCCAAGACCATTTATTATAATGACCCACAAAATTTACTTTTAACAAAACATGGAACATTTAAATGTATGACCTTTAGAATAAAAATACTACTGTTGGGATTAATTGCGTTATACAAACAGTATGAAGAAAAAGACATAGGTTTGGTTTTCTTAGGGAAAGTTGGTGATGATGATGATGATGATGATGATGGGGGTATTGTTTGTTGCTTTTGATCTATGAACATGGGACATGAACAGAGGGTCCTGGGGGGCTGAAGTCTACACGTACATGCATGGAGCTGAAGAGAGGTGATTATTGTGTATTTCCAAAGATGTATTGATATGTTTTCATTGGCCAATCAGATCATGACAGTGATGCAGCGGGTTAATGGAAGAGATGCTACCTCATCACCATGTTGCCTCTACTGTGACACATGTGGTGGAAAATTTCTAGGTTAATCGGGAGGAGAGAGTTTATGTTCTCAAAATAATAATGAAGTCATCAGAAGATTCAAAGTTGTCTTTTTCCGTTTATTCTCTTGCAAGAGGGAAGAAAGCACAACAGCTACGTATTCAGTAGACTGCGTGAAACCTTCTTCGAAGTGCAATATTCAACATCATTTATGCATACAAAAGTTCACGCCTTTACAACTTCAGATAATGCGTAAAAAGGGGAGTAAGTAATATACAAAGTGGATTTCCATCACCAGTTTCACCGCAAACAAATGAGACTGTACAGTAGGCTAAATGGGAGATAGCATTGTGTAGCAGTGACCTGCATTGCTTGCTGTAGTTGAGAGAAGAGTTTTTAGTTTCCACTTACAGGCTGTGTGCTGGTTGAGTGGAATACCTCTTATCTTCTTACCTCTTCTGTCACTTGCCAAAGAAACAAAAATACCATTAATGTATAATTTCACATGTATAGCTTTGGTCTTAAGTTTTACACAAGACCTAACTAAATTCCCTGGTAATACATGAGGGTTTCCTCATACGTGTAACAACCATGACCGTTCCAGTAAATAGGCCGAACCAACGGGGGCTATATCTAGTCCTCTCAGCTTTGGCTCAGTTACGAGCCAGAAAGCTAACGTTATGCTAGCAACATTCAAAGTCAATACCATTGCGTACGGTTTTCAAATAGAAAATAAAATTGTACAGTATGTTTAGCAACATGACTAGCTAGCTATACGGCCATGGCATTTTTCCCAAATCAAAGCATAATGCTAGCATAAAGCTAATGTTATGCAAGGAAGAACTTAAGTTGTTGTTTTTTTCCCAAGATGTCGTTTTTCATAAAGTGTTTATTTGGGGAAAATGTGAATTTATTTGCAGGAATTTTCCTGATGTTGCCACTGTCAGTCATCAGAGCCCAGCGTGTGTCCCCTGTCCCATCATGCCCTGCTTCCTGTGTGGTTTGCTCTGAAGATGCACTTATCTGTCACAGACTGGCTTACATTATTGGTAACACACACACACACACACACACACACACACACACACACACACACACA